CGCCGTTCCTTTTGAATATTTGATAAAACATAATGTATCTTAACTACAAAACTATTTTCAGAATCTTCATTTGCCAGATTTTTCAAAATTTTTCACTTACTATCGTCGCCCAAAAATTCAAGAACATTTTTCAAGACGGGTATAGGTTCTGGCCCAGGCAGTCCTTTCAAAATTTTCAACGTTCTCAAATGCTCGATGAAAGCTCTCACAAGAAAATATAATGCCACACATCCTGCCACCACAACTGAAAAATTTACTATAAACATTTCAGTATATTCAATTCAAAAGTTCTTTGTCAAGAACAATCGTCTGAATAAATCTACTACGCGTTGTGAACACTGTCAATAATTTTTCTATTCGAACAACTTTTGAAGTGTTTTCGTGCGAAACATTTCAATTATATCAATGGCATTGACGCTCTTTTATCAACTAAGTCCATGTAACTGTGCAAACTGTCCTTAATTCTTATTACTAACAATTTTTTGAACCTTACTTTCTCAGAAGCACAAAGTGAGCTGTGATTCTTCACCTGTCTCTTTCTGAATGCCGCGAGGTTCAAACCTTGGACCACCTCTGTTTTGTTGTTAACCCTTGTGATCCCATTGAAAAATTGTTTTTTAGGTCGACGAAATGCGCCGTTCCTCAGTAAGAGTGTAGAAATACATTATTGTCAAAACCATGAATTCTTTTGAATAATAATACGCTTTCGCTTTTCTCCGAGAGAATCGAAATTTGATTTTCGGAGGTTACCTCCTAAACACTATATTCCACATACCTGCCAATCCTTGTGATTCGCTAACAACAACAGCGTGTAGCAAATTGAAACAGATGTAGTGTCAAATCCCTACAAATAAAAATTGCGTGGTATAAAAATCTGATATAGATGCGTAAGTTACAAATTGATTACATTTAATTGTCATGGTGATTATTCGAATGTTCAAAAACATGATATAGAAAAAGCAAATTATGTGTCATGTGTCGTATATTTCCAGTAGATCAAGTACCTGAAAAACATTACATATCTTACAAAAATGATATCATTATGTCGAATGGAAACTCTAATTTCATCAAAAACACACAACGGTAGGCGTCGACATGCTTGTTAAACAATTATACAGTGTGTAAAAGCCAAATGAAATAATAAATTGATAGATGTAGCCGTTACTACGTAGTCAGAGATCATAATGAAAAGAGAAATGAAAATTTCTATGTTTTACCACTTTTAATTGTAACTAACGTTACTCAGTTTCATTCTATATGGACATTCTCAAACTAATACAATAAACTAACAATGATTCATTAATGTTAATAATCATCCCTAAATCCACACTGAGCAAAGACTCAATAATTTACGTCGGTGTCAAAATGTATAATAAACTTCCTGAAGATATAAAGAACATGGATCTCTCAAAACTTTCAGGAAAAAGTTACTTGAGAGACTGGCACACAAAGCCTATTACAATCTGACAGAATATTTTGATGACGAAACGATATGAAATTGACGGTGCTTAGGAATCCGTGTCAGGAATTACACGTTGAAAGGTGAGACCTCGTTAGTCCTTAGCTCGCACAAGTTTTTCAACTTCTGAGAGTTGTCGTTCGTATGGGGGCGACAGCTGATTAAGGGAAAAACAGATTTTAAACAAATATATAATAATATATGTGTAATTTTACCTACATTTGAATATTTATATGTATTATTTTCATGTAATTATGTAATTGTCCATTTATCTGTCAATTGAGTGTCAATAAGGTCTCTTGGATCTCTTGGATAATAAACACATTCTCTCTCTCTCTCTCACTCACTCACACACAGTACGGTATAGAGAAACAGTGATTGAAGTTTGTTTGAAGGTGGTTGACCAGTTATCACCCAGTATCCACTAGCAATCGAAACGTCATGATGTAACTTGATTTGGAGTCTTTGAATTTTAATTTCTTGTTAATAATATTTTTCAATTTTTTTTATTNATAATGCCACACATCCTGCCACCACAACTGAAAAATTTACTATAAACATTTCAGTATATTCAATTCAAAAGTTCTTTGTCAAGAACAATCGTCTGAATAAATCTACTACGCGTTGTGAACACTGTCAATAATTTTTCTATTCGAACAACTTTTGAAGTGTTTTCGTGCGAAACATTTCAATTATATCAATGGCATTGACGCTCTTTTATCAACATTTTCTGAACAATCGAACTTTATAGATGATATGTATCATAATAACAGTACAACATGTAATACTGGATTATATTTGCACTATGTAATGGGATAGAAAGGTCAAAGTTTCCCAGATAATGAGAGTGTTTTGATTTTGGTTTCCACAGTATTCAAAAATATTTTGTTACTCCACTGTTTATTTATATGTTATCTTCAGATAACCTTAGTTATCCAAAGTCTGGAACCAAAATGATAATTGAAGAGCGAATTGGTGTGGGTGGATTGGGTTCGATTCACAATCGAAAGGTCGAATTAAATTACGGCTAAAATACGAGGTTCAGCTGAAAAAACAGAAATTTAGATGTAACTTTTTCCATTCCTACCTTCATCCCACCTAATCCCGCTCAATATAATTTCCTTCAGTATCCCTACACTTTCCCATTATTTTTCACTATTCAAAACCGATTTTTCATTATTTTCTGAGAGCATATTCAATGTTTCCGTTGCTTTTTCCTTCACATCTTTCACTGTATCAAATCTGATACATATGTAGGCTTCTTTACCTTTCAGAAATATAAAAAAGTTGAACGGAGCTAGATCTGGTGAATAAGTTGGATGTTTCAACACAGGAATCCCACGCTTGACCAAAAATCACTCATCTGTGCTTGAACTTTCACAATTTGGTCGCTTCGTTCTCACTCGAGCATGAGGATTGGCTAGAACCTCAAAATATATTCTTTATTCACTGTTTATCATGCAGGAACCTAATTCACCTCTTGAATTTCATGAATGTCAAAAGCAACATCATCATGAATTGAAGGGGTTATATTTTTTAGGAGTGATTAATTTTTGGGTCCTTGGCAATGCGATTACCTTCACTCCTGTCGAACCCTTTAACCCACCTCAGGATAATGTTATTATCTACCGATGCTTTGGCTGAATCTTGGTGGCACTTTGGTACTAGCCTGAGGTAACACGTTGTCTATTCAAGGCCAATAGGGCTTGTCTGCTATCAGCTATAATATCCCAAGGACATTGATAACTAACGAAATAATTTTATCACAGTTTTCGAAAGCACGTTATTTGGTCTTCGCCTTCGGCGTCGGGATGTTACCTAAAATAACGTGCTTGAGGAAGTTGTGATAAAATTATGAGTTATTTATCAATGTTCGAGGGATATTCGGTGAGAAAATTTTTTGCAATTCGAACAAAATTATTTATTGAACACACAGTTATTAAAAGAACAATTCGTATAATGATATTCCGTTGATCTTGCTGTATTTGCCTCGGTTACTGCA